TCACTAAATTTGATTTAAAAGAATTAGAAGAGGCTTTAAATTCTGCTAAAACAGGAAAAATTGATGCACAAGCATTAGAAAAGATTTTGAAAACATTGTTAGTTGATGAGACCAAGGCAAATGAAGAAGAAATAGAAGTCTTGATGAAAAAGATTAGCAAATCATACTTGAATGGTGGTGATGGAAGCAGCAATAATATTATTAAAGACTTGAATGGTGATGGTGATTGCAATAATAAAATTAAAGAGAATGGTATTCTTGTTGATGGAAAACAAGGAATTCATGTTGATAGTGAATTGATTGAAGATATTGTTTTATGGAAATCTAGTATGGATTTAGGACCAACACCAACTCCTAACGTTGATTTAAATAATTTTATTGAAACAACAAAATAAAATACATATATATCATATGACTATGATATAATTTAAAATTATATATTTTACATGTGGGGCACACTGCAACTAGTGTTACGGCCTGTGTTGTTAACGAATTATCATTATGGACCATTACGAACATTTGTCCTGTTAAGAATCCGTTAATATTATAATTAATGATTTCCAAACTAAGTATTAATTAAAGTTATACATTGCAATAATATTTTCCATGTTTTCTGAATGATCAAAAGTTTAAAAAATATGTATTTATTTAATTTCTTTCTTTGCCTGCAAATATCAGAAAAGTTTGTTCATACATCCTGTCAATCCCAAAAACTAAAATCAAAGCATTGGTCATTTGATATTTTAAGAACTAACCTCTAACAGATTGTTTAACCTTAACTGTAATCGGTATCTTCATTGCTAGATAGTGAGGAGTCATTTCTTCTCCTAATTCATCAAGCCGCTGCCAATGTTCCGTTGAGCTCCATAGAGAATTGGAAATTTTGTCCATGGCTCTCTGGAGAAGCAAAACACAATTAATGAGAGTCAAAAGAAGACCAATAAGTTCCTAAACAATTACAGATTTATATTTTTTCTATGATAAAACCTGCCATATCTTTAGCTCCATTTAAAACCTTTAATAAATCTTGCAGGTGGCTTCATGTTTGGAAATGTCCGTGCAAATGATCTGAGCGACGTTTTCGCCCGTGAACAACTCCCCTGCGGTAGTAAAAATAGACGACTTTTTTGATGCTACCGCAATTGCGGAAAATCTCGGGTTCGATGTGTTGTAGATGCAAGGGATCTTGAAGATTTTGTTCGAGTTGGTGAACGGATTGTACGTTTTTCTTGCCAAAACAAAAAAGTTATTCTCATCATCGGGTGGCCGTGGCTTCCGCAACACAGGGAGCGCAAAACAAAACAAGCAACTGGATGACTGGGAGATCATGGATGTCAGACTCATCGCAAATCGAGATCCGCCGCCTTTAACACAGTCAGTCACCTGCACCTGCAAAAATATTTACCGCCAAGTTAAAGGAAAATTCTGCACATATTTTGTTTTTGTGTTTCTCGTATAATCAGTACTCAGTGAAATGCTATGAAATTCTGATTGGCTGAATTCTGTGTGGATCTTTCGTTGAATGAAAAATAAAAAACATCGCGGGAATTTTATTAACTGGTCATATAACTTCCAAATTATAGGATTAAGCAATACAAGAATGTCATTTTTTGTGAGTTAATATATAGCATATTAACTTGATATATGATTTTAATATTATATACAAACTCAAAATTTTCTTTATCTGCTATCTATTGAATATCTTTCTAAATACAGTATAACCCTTGTTTCGATGGACTTCATTTCAACGGGTTAGAATTAATTCATGTTTCAAAAATCTCTGTTATACATTATGAAAACATATAAAAATCCATTGAAACGCGATTAGTAATTTTGTTTCAACAGATTTTAAATGAAATTTTCTTACATGTCCAGCCATTCTAGTGAAACAAGGTTATTACTGTACCTGTTCTAATTTCTAGTTAAAGGAATATCGTCATCATCTTTCTCTTCTATCAATGAATTACTTACCAAGTATTCAACTTACAAATTATATAATAATGAGTTAAAGATTGATAAATAGTAAATAATAAAATAAATAAAACTAATACTTCCATGTTGATCTCGATTTTACTATTACTATCACAATGAGGTATCAGCTGCTTTTCTTTGTTCACATTAATGTTCCATCTGAATATTTTCCTTCTCACTAGTATCATCAGGATCGGTGTAAGAAGATTCATCATTTAATAATTATATATGAATTATTTAGAATCAGGGTAATAACAAAATCATCCCAATTTTTTAAAATAATTTCAAATGGAGACATTCTCTTCCACCACCTGCCAAAAAAGAAATGGCTTAGTTTGCTATAAGTAAACACTTGTCCCGCCCGATCACATAATAATTTTAGTTTTACCTTTCTTTTGCATTTGCTCCTTAATAGGACAGCAAAAACAGTTGATATTATCATTACAAATAAATAGAGAAAATATTGCATCACCAAAGTAATAATAATACTATGACCATGGCATGCATGAAAAATTTAAGAAACCAATTCAAAGAAAATCTCACAATGCCCCAAAAGTTGGACAATGCACAAAAGGCTATTATATGGTTCATTAAAGGACCAATAAATCTAACATATTCTTTTAGGCATCTATGCAGGTTCTATCCATTATCTTCCTACATTATAAAAACGCAAATTAAATTTATATTACACAGTGAATCTCAAAGTAGTGTGCCTTGATTTAATAGATATTAATGGATTGAGATTTAATAATAATAAATAAATTAAAACTATAATGATAATAAAATTCTTCTTAATATAATGGATTTCTTAATACAGTCAAACCTTGTCAGATTTTGTTTAAAATCCATTATTGCTAATCTTGCCACAACGGATTTTTATATTAATATTAATATTAATATGCGAATAATTTTAAAAATACGTTATGACAAGTATTTAATTATTATTATTATTATTATTATTATTATTATAGTCCGCTGTGACAAGGTTTGACTGTATTAGTAATAACGGTTTTTTGGAAAAAATTTCTAATTGCCCAGACTATCTGCTAAACCAAGATTGTGTATATTTTTAAATTAATGATTTTTAAACGATAAAGGATATTATTTAGTGATGGTGGCCGAAACTATTTTTGAAAAAAGGTAGTTTCGCCCAATACATATAATAAGTTCTAAATCAATCTACGTGCTTTATTTTAACACTTAAAAAATAACTTTGCCCAATCTCAGCCATTAAATTAGTTTCGCCAAAGTTTAGGCCAATTAATTTCAGGTAGTTTCGGCCATCATCACTAATGTTATTATTATTGATAGCAATAGCGTAATGTTGGATAGAAAGTAATAGTAATACAATTTACAGTTGCACAATTCATTAATAAATCTAATAATTAATGTAACTAATGAATGCTATAGATTCGAATCGAATCAAAGTACAATTCGAATTCGATCCGAACTGATTCGAATCAAAGATTAGATGATTCGTTCGGAGAATGAAATTTTACATATAAAAGATGCAACCCTCGCACATTTACCTAAAGCTGTTAATTCTATTATCACAATAATAGTCTATTATATATAATAATAATTAAAACTATAGATCATTTCGTATGTGTGCTTGTATATGTATGTGTGTGTATGATGTTAGTCATCTTTGTAAATGTATAAATGTAATAAAAAAATTTAATATTTAATTAAAATTTATATGATATACATATTCTTTATGTTGAGTTTCATGTCTTCGTAAGCCATTAATATTTTTATACCCTAAATTAAGGGACTAGAAAATATTAGACAGTCGTCAGGTATATTTGATATTTTACAAATAAAATCACGTTATTTGCGTAACATGTGAAAAAGTAAAGTATTTTTGGAAAGAAAAAAAATGGGTATTACATGGTATAGATAGATGACATCCATATTTATAAATATATTTTTTAGAAAATTAAGATGTAAAATATATAAATAATAATATATTTTCTAATTCAGTGTATTACTTGTTAGCAATGGAGGGTATCAAGATTTGGTAGATTTGAGTGAACGAATAATATCAAATTTGTCAGGTAAACTTTTAGATAATTGGAAAATCAATGCAGTTCTTTATTTAAGAACACAACCTCAACAACTTCAGCCACATTACCAACAGCAACAACAGCAACAACAGCAACAACGACAACAACAACAACACCAACTTCAACAACTTCAACTTCAACTTCAACAGCTGCAGCAGCAGCAGCAGCAGCAGCAGCAACAACAATTACTACTACAACAAATCCAATTGTTAAAACAACATCATCAAATACAACAACAACAGTTGCTGCAACAACAACAATCAATGTATACCATATCATTTAATAGTGGTGCTCTTAAAGATAAATTTTATTGTTTGGTAGATGATATTATTGTAGAATCTGATAGAGAAATGGAAGGAATATTGAAAAGATTAAAAAATCTTTGGATGAGTAGACAAATGGCTCAATTTGAGGTAAAAAAATTTATAAAAAATCAAAAATTTTATTTTTGTTGGGAATAATTATTAATTAAAATTTTTGTTGTTGTTTAGGGACAAACATATAGCATTGGTGATTTTGTTATACGTGCAGCTAATGCTTCAAATTCACCACAAAAAGGAATGTTAATTGAAATAGAATATTTGCCAACACTCAATTATAAATCAGCAATACCATTATTAAAAGAATTTATTACAATTTTACTACCTGATGTTAAAACTTTGTCATGGAGTCCAGGATCTGAAATGGAAAATTTTAAAAAAGTTGGATTATCAGAAACAGATTTCTCTAGAACACATACTGCTCATCAATATATTATGTTATTTAAAAATAACAGTATTTTGTAGGATAGATTAAATATTTCAATGTTGCAAATAAATTAAAATAAGTCATCCACCATCCATATAAATTATTTATTAAGTACAGTATAAATTATTAATACTAATTCAAATGGTTCATTTGAACCATACATTAACAACAAAAAAAAAAATTGTATATAAATATTATTTACAATTATCTATTATCTTATAATTCTTCAACATAATTCCCTAAAAAAATTTTAAAGCAAAATAACAATCATTTGATTAATAATATCTCTTAAAAAACAAAAAATTTAAACACACATACAGGAAAATTTTTTGAATTTACCTGGAAAAATACCAGTAACACCATTTAATTTTCCCTCCCACCAATCATCAGTATTAGGAGTTCTTTTTAACACTTCAATTTTATCCCCTTTATGAAATGATAAATCGCCATCTGCCTGTGCATCATAATCATATAATGCTTTGACATATGCAATTTTTGGTTTTGCTGGGATAGGAGGGGGGATTGGTGATGGAATTTTTTTGTTAACTGGGAAAAGTTTTGAATTAGAGGATGAATTCATTGAATTGAATGATGCTTTACGAGCTGATACTGATGGAGTTGCTGAATATGCTGGAGGTGGTTCATCTTCATTTTCATCTTCATCTTCATCATCATCATCAAATTTTTTTATATTTTTCTTTCTATTGCGAGCATAATCACTATTATTATTGCTATCAGAATCATGATCATTACCATTTCTATTAGAGTATTTTTTTGAAGTTTGAGTGTTGGAAGATCGATTTGATGATGATGATGATGGTGATGTTGATAAATCTCTTGATGTATAAGTTGACTCATCTCTCTTTGAAGCATGTTTACGTAAACGAACTATAATTTTTTTTTAATAAAACAAAAAATTTACAATTAAACAATTAATTAATCAAAAAATGTTTTTAATCCCCCACCGATTTACCATTTTCAGGATTAGATTTTGCTAATTTTGCTTCACGATTTAATAAGGTTAATGATTGAATTTGATTCTTTGCATCTTCAACTCTTTCATCATAACTGTCTACTATTGAAGAATCAATATCAATATCTGATTTATCTACAACTTTTTCCAAACGTTTTATTGAATGCCTGAAAATTCTTATTTGAATACGATAAAAAGATTCAAATACTGGTTCAATAAATTCAATCATATAATCGAAAAATAACGGTAATTCTTTCTTAAGTAAATTATTATAATATTCATATTCTTGTGTTGCTGTACTAAGTAAATCTTCTTGCTAATAATAAATATTATTATTGTAATGTTTATAATTATTATTATGATATATTTAAATAACGCTTTAGTTCATTTAAAGCTTTTTTTACCTTATACAAGTTTTTTTCTTCACTTGCACTTAATATTTTATCTTTCATGTCTTTATATTTTTTTACATTTGCAGAATAACGTTCATAATCAACTTTTTTGTGATCACGTTTTGTAATCGTTTTTTTGATCAATTTAATAACCGTTAAGAAATTAGCTATAGGATTGATAACTTCATGATCAAGTAAATCCTTTTTAGTTTTAACAACAATGATTCTAATTAATAATATGATTATATCTTTAAGATGATAACAACAACAATTATAATAATTATTTGTTTTATTAATATATATTTTACCAAATCTGATAAGATGGTGTCCCTAAGATCTTTCGCATTTTGTGAATAACTTTCAACGACTTTTATTGAATGAGAAGATGTTTTCTGTCGACGTACAACTGCTCCATCAGTTGGTTCTAATCCTTGTATAGGATTGTATACTTCTACCAATAAATTGGATAAATTTGCTTGATGATTAAGCATAACTTTATATATGCATAAATATATATGTATGAGTGTACGAGTGATTAAATTTAAATAAACAGTGAAATTTAAATTTAAAGAAAAGGAATATATCTTTAAAATTCTCACTCACGTGAAACTTGATCTCTAAATTTTACAACGTCTGTATGTAATTTTTCAGCGTGATTGGCTACTTCAGCAAATTTCTTACTCGCATCATTATATTCGTAATCTTTCATTGCTAATTATTAAAAAAAAGTAATTATTAAACTTGTTCATTTTATAATAATGAGAATTAAGAAATGTTTAAAAGAAACAGATAACTTACAACTCCTAAGTTTTGTCTTTTGCTTGATTTGCTGAGGTAATCTACCAATAGCTTTGGTTGTACCTTTCCTATATCATACAGACAAAAAAAATTTAAACGAAAAATATAAATTTAAACGTTAATTAAATAAATAATCATGAAATTATTTTTTATTTTCCAAAATGCCTATTTACCAACTCATTTTTAAAGAAATAATTTATTTTTTAAAATAAAAAAGTCGAACAATTTTATTTTTATTTTTAAATTTAGAAATTAAGTCGTCTTTTTGTACAACGACGAGACGACATTTGCTTTCTTAATTTTACTTAATCATGATCATTAAAAAATCAAGATTTCTATAAAGAAATGTCCAACAGATATATATATTTAATTATCCCATTAATTTCATTCGGGATTATAATTTTAATTGTCCAGTCCATTTTCTTCCTAAAGCCAAGTAAAAGAGTTGGCATGGAAAATAAATTGCATCGCACCGTAAAAAAGATGTTACATACTAGTCGGACGACATTTCACAGTGACTGATTTTAATATATGATCGACATGGCACGTTTTCTGTACAACGGACTTTGGCGAATGAATTGAACGTAAACTCATTATTAAACAATTTTCGTGCCTCTAAGTAAAAACAATCACTTGCCTTTGACCTTTAAAACGCGAGCTTTATGCATTTGTAGCTCTTCCAGTTATGGAGTAATAGCCTCTCAAAGAAACCTATGGTTTTTGACTTCGGAAGCTTAATTCTTTTCGGAAATCAGCTCTATTGAGATCGTTTTAGCATGATAAGACAGAGTACATTAAGAGCTTTCAGAAAATATATGATTCGGATGGTTTTCTTGGGGAAGGAAGAAATTAAAAGCAAAAAACGGTTTTATAAGTTATTTATTATATTAGAGCTTTTAACAAAGTTTTTTTTTTCACATTACTGATTTCTAACTTTTATTATATTAATATTAATAATGATTAGATAATATATGAAGGCACAATCTTTTAATTGGAGTTTCTACTCAAAAGGTTACAAAAGAAAAAATATTTTAATATATTGATTAATATTCTCAACTTAATAAATTATTAATTATTAATATAAATGATAATAATCTTTAAATTTAGAACTTTTGTTTATTTATTTTTATTGTGAAGAATTTTTAAGATAGTATGAATTAATGACAAAAATAAGAAAAACAAGATAATCTCAATTGAATGAACAGATAACAAGAAGGAAAACTATTAAATATTAGTATTAGGTATCAAAAATTATATTAAATGAATTTAATTAATATATTTATTAGATTTTTTTTTTTTTGTCAATATTTAATTGATTGTTTGTTATATGTTAAAAATTAACTATATAGATATGAAAAAAATATTTTAAATGATTATATGGCTAAACAATGTACCACTAAAGAAAAGTTTGTGATCTCACTGAGTTTTATATTAACATTATAATTTTTTTTTTGTCTTTATATTTTTTTTACATTTGCAGAATAACGTTCATAATCAACTTTTTTGTGATCACGTTTTGTAATCGTTTTTTTGATCAATTTAATAACCGTTAAGAAATTAGCTATAGGATTGATAACTTCATGATCAAGTAAATCCTTTTTAGTTTTAACAACAATGATTCTAATTAATAACATGATTATTTATTTAATTAACGTTTAAATTTATATTTTTCGTTTAAATTTTTTTTGTCTGTATGATATAGGAAAGGTACAACCAAAGCTATTGGTAGATTACCTCAGCAAATCAAGCAAAAGACAAAACTTAGGAGTTGTAAGTTATCTGTTTCTTTTAAACATTTCTTAATTCTCATTATTATAAAATGAACAAGTTTAATAATTACTTTTTTTTAATAATTAGCAATGAAAGATTACGAATATAATGATGCGAGTAAGAAATTTGCTGAAGTAGCCAATCACGCTGAAAAATTACATACAGACGTTGTAAAATTTAGAGATCAAGTTTCACGTGAGTGAGAATTTTAAAGATATATTCCTTTTCTTTAAATTTAAATTTCACTGTTTATTTAAATTTAATCACTCGTACACTCATACATATATATTTATGCATATATAAAGTTATGCTTAATCATCAAGCAAATTTATCCAATTTATTGGTAGAAGTAT